AACATATTATTACAGTATTAAATAATGACATAATTCTAAAAATATAAGTGAGAAAAAYTTTGAGAATTAGAAATAAGTCATATGAATTTTCCATGATATACCGCAGAATAATTGACACAATAGACATGCGACAAATCGTGAAAAATGTAACTTGTCAAAGAACGTTATTCTTGAGTAGTTATAAGTAGATCTTTGTAGAGCCGTTTGAAGGAGGTAAAAGGTCCGGTCGATAGATACAATTTAGTTTCTGATTGATATATAATCCAGCGCCTCCAGTTTTTTGGCCGGGCGATTTTCCTTTGAGGTCTGATAGTTTCTTGTAGAATTCTTGCTTTTGTCACGAGTCGTGAACTTCACAATCAAGCGGTCTTTTACACCTTTAGTATCGGGAAGACGATGAGAGGTAGAAATATCTTCATCTTTGAGTTTAATTCCAATCACACTAGCGACATCTTTTACCAAATTGTTGGTGTTCTCTCCGCGAGGCTGGATGCCTGTTAATTCAAGGCAATCACGTCCAAGGTACTGCTTTACTTTAACCCTTTCCCGACTGTCCCTTGAAATTTGGGTGGAATTCCAACGATGCGTCTAAAATCTATAAGTTACCGAAATACTAGTAGATAGTATCGATATCACAGTTCACAGAATTTTGCAACGAGAAAAAAAGGCACAAAACAGTACCCTGCTTAAAAATGAATGCCAAAATTTGCGTTTGGAGGACCGCAGGAAACACTGAATTCCATCTCAATTTCTAATAACGTCAAAATATGTTCTCGTAGCAAAACGTCCACTTCTTGCGCAAATTCCTTTGATAGAACGTCCTCATTTTGGCGTTTTTATTTTGTCAAAGTTACTGCAGACCTCTCAACAGCCCTCTTTTGAGCACCGGGTACAACAATCAGCTCTGCATGACCGAAATGCATCATGGGAGGATATAGATTTTGGGCGTAAATCTTGCAGCCGATTTAGCTTAGGAGGAGGCGAAGGGCTCCTGGGAGAAATATATCTGTTCTTATGTCCTTAGTCAGCAGCTGTAAGTCACAACTGGTTGTCAGCGAGAAATTCAGGGGGAAAAAAACTCTCCAGGCAAGGAACACTTTCTGCCTGGAAAATAAAAAAATCCCTTTCCCAGGAAAAAAATCATACAAGAACAGTCATTTAAAATAAGAGACCCTGTCCTCCTGAGCATTCTTGTTTCAAGATTTTTTTTAGAGTCACTGTGATCTCCCCCGCTCCTACAGCCAAAATATTGGGCCGATTGCATTCTTTGGATGTCAAATATTGC